AATTTGCCACATATGTTCTTTGTTTGCGATTCTTTATACTCAGGAAAAAAAATATTTCCTACAGAACAGCTGGAAAATATATTGCCACCAGGTGGTGCAATGGCGGCAGCACCTACCCAAGAGGTTTGCAGGCCTGAACTGCCACCCTGTGGTGAGAAGATAAAAGTACAGGGGGCCCTCCCTTCACCATTTGAAACCCACGCATGGAATCCTAGCTACCATCTCCCCACACCCACTGCATGCGTTGCACAAAGTACAGAGAATATGAATATGTGGACTTGGACGGACATAAACTCTTCCTTGTCCACATCTGTTTCTCCTGGAACCAACCCTCCCAGTCCAGCCCCCCAGCTGGGCATCGTGGTGGGTGCTATTCCTATAGCCAGCCCCAAGGTAGGCAGAGTTGGTAAGAGAGCAGGAGGGACTCTGGGCCTGGTTTGCCTCTCTCTTCCTGACCCTTCTGAAGTTGGGACACTCTGGTGGGGACTTTCCTCCTCTCCCCACTCTAGGCCTTCCCTTTCAATCCTTCCTTTCCTCATCCACCCACACTGTTGCTTATACAACATTTGTTGCTTACCTAGTAGGTGTGAAGCACTGAGCTAGATAAATGCCCAGTAGTGCAATTGCTTATGGTTAGCATATACTCAATTTTATAAGAAACTGCCAAAAAAAATTTTTTTAAGTAATTTTATTGAGGAACAGTGTGTTTTTCCAGAACCCGTCAGCTCCAAGTCAAGTAGTTGTCTTCAATCTAGTTGTGGAAGGTGCAGCTCCTTGGCCCATGTGGGAATCAAACCAACAGCCTTGATGTTATGAGCCTGTTCTCTAACCACTTGAGTTAACCAGCCACCCCTGATATGTCTTATAAGTCATAATTTCTAGTTTCCCTTTCCGCTTTTGGTTTTGGTTTTGTTCTTATTTCTTTGCCTTTTTATTTTTTAAAAGAAACCGAAGTGTTTGTTCTTAGAGTTTTACTGGATTTTGGTGCTTGCATCCCCATGATGTCATTTAACATTATCCTTCGTGTTGAAGAAATGTCCAGACCTGTACAGAATTTTAATGAGTTTATTTGAGCCAAACTGATGACTATCGCTGGGAAGCAAGATCTCAACAGATTAAGAAAAATGTTCTGGGGATAGCTGATTAGCTCAGGTGGTTAGAGTGCAGTGCTCATAACACCAAAGTTGCCGGTTTGATCCCCACATGGGCCATGGAGCTGCGCCCTCCTCAACTAGATTAAAATGACTACTTAACTTGGAGCTGATGGGTCCTGGAAAAACACAGTTCCCCAATAAAAAATAATAATAAAGAAAATGCTCTGGAGAATGGCAGTTTTGCAGCTTATTAGAATCAAAGGAGGAACTATAAGGAAGGTTACATGAAATCCACTGGTGGTAGATTAAGGGGGCAGGAGAAAGCAAAGTGGGGGAGGGAGGAAGTCTCTGGGGTTGGATAAAAAATAAAACAGAGAGACACATACTTCTTTTACATTGGTGAGTACATGATAGTTAATAATTAACATTTACAGCACATAGTGATGGTATTTGGGGAACAAGATAAAAGAGATTCTGTGCTCTGGTGGGAGGCTGTGCCCTGAGGGGTCTGGTAAAGATTACTCTGACATTCCAAGGGTATGTACAGGCAGGCTCACTTAAGGTAAAGATTGACCTTTGTCAAGGAAGCTACAGACACAGATGTGACTACCCGCCATGACCCACTCTTATTTAGAAATTTTTATGTTCAGAC